AGCCTGGAGTGATCATCCTGCAATGCAACGAAGGGTCTGTTGTCATGTTCTATACTACCCTCAGTTATCTGGGCTTCCTGGCTGCCATCTGCTTTACAGTGGCTTTCCTAGCCAGGAATCTGCCTGGGGCCTTCAACGAAGCCAAGCTGATCACCTTCAGCATGCTGGTCTTCTGCAGTGTCTGGGTGACTTTTGTGCCCACTTATCTGAGCACCAAAGGGAAATACATGGTGGCCGTTCAGGTCTTCTCCATCTTGTCCTCCAGTGCTGGTCTGCTGGGCTGCATCTTCATCCCCAAGTGCTACATTATCATTCTGAGGCCAGACTTGAATACAAAGAAGCAGCTTATGGCCAAAATAAATGCAGAAATGTGAAACATAAGAATTTTTGCTCTCAAAATTTTCCAAGAGTCCAAACCTTGAACATGATGCAAGATGTTGTCCATACATGAGTGGACCAATGATTTTGCTTGGAAAAATTAAAGGCCAATCAGAAAATAGTGTCCTCCATCCTTTTCCAGCCAATTGCAAGATGGACACTTAGCTCTTTTGAGTAGTTGAATCATCAGATCTCTCCTTGGCCCTTAGCTGATCACTGAAAATGCCCCACCAAGATATTTTAAAAATGACGTTTGTATAATGGGAACCTTGTTGATATGGCAGAAATAATTGTATAAATGCAGTGGAGGCATTATTTTAATTGTATGCTAGTTTATCTGCAGTTGGGATTCTTTGTCCTATTGGACCCAAGATCTCAGCACCATCAACATAATACTGCACTGGATGGATGTGGGCTACACTGTAGGCACTGCCACCATCTCACCTGCAGACCTCACAGCCCACTCTTTATTTAACAAACCAAGAAACTTATATAGAAAATATAGAGGATTTCACTGTCTTACATGAATAGGGAAAGACAACACAGAGAGTGTCAAGGGAAAAAAAACTTTCAATCGCTCCTTTATCTTCCTTTAACTTTTTCCCTATTTACTCAATGATACAAGCTATCACTTTCCTGTCTTTTAATCACCTTTTATCCAAAATCTGATATTTCTGAACTGTTCTATTTCTAGAACAGATAGGAAATGAAATTTCACTTCAGATACTTCAGGAATTTTAAAATCAGTTCCAATTTAAGGTAAATAAACCAAGATTTAAAATAAAAGAAAATCAAAAACAGGCCCTAGTCTTAACTTTAGACAGGGTTCAAGGGACTGATTGCCTCCATAGCTATGGATGACCTTGCCCAGGAGACTTTGGAGGAGAGACCATCTTGAAGGACAGCAACCTGGTTGTTGATATATCTTCATCTATTTTCTGGATGTCCTGACAGGAAGGATAACCAGTAGAGAACAGGTCCTCCAAGGGTGTATCTGTGATTTTTCATTAACATCCCTATCTCCAGCATGAAATGTTGCCTTTCAACATGGCTCCAAATAAAAAGTCAAGCATCAAAAGTTAAGCAACAAAGGAAAGTCCTTGTTGGCCATGCAGATTTTCTCCATCTTGGCCTCTGGTGCTGAGCTTCTGGGCTGCATCTTCTTCCCCAACTGATTCATTGTCCTCCTGAGACCAGATCTAAACACTAAGGAGCATCTAATGATAAAAGTTGTGAAATGATTTCAAAGGCTTATAATATTTACTTATTCATTATTATTGTATTCATTTGCAACTGTTTGACAATTTATGTTGTTTAAAACTAGATAAAAATATGAACAGTGTAAGACTAAGGAAATTAAAATCTAAGATCATATCAAACAATAGAATAAATGAATTGATAATTAATATTTGTGGTTTTTAGCAGTTGGTAGTCCATATTTTCCTCAGCCTGAGGGTTAGCCAATATTTGGCTTAAGCAACCATTCAAAATAGGACAAATATGAGCCATGTCCTGGCCATTGGAATCCCAAGAGTTTGACAGATTTCTTTAACATAAGTTACAAAGGTCTCAATGTCATCGCTTTCATAGTTCTTTTGGAATCAATATTTTCATTTCTCTGAGGATTGGATTGTACCGGGAGGAGAATGGTAAATGAGAAAGAAGTGATGTTGCAACTTCAACAACTCTAAATGATGTTGGTGCTCCTTGTTCTCCTGATGTTCTCTTTCTGAGCAGTCTCCATTCATTTAACTCACAGATTTATTTATTAGTCCAATTTATATGCCGCCATTCTCCATAGACTCAGGGCGACTTACAAAGCATTATAGCAATAGCCTGCATACTTTTATGTATATACCTTCTTATTAGGGCTTTCAGCCCCCCCTAAGCGGTGTTGTTCTATACAAAGCTGGTTTATTGCCCCCACAGTCCGGGTCCTCAATTTACCTACCTCGAAAGGATGGAAGGCTGAGCCAACCTTGAGCCTGGTGAGATTTGAACTCGCACTAATTGCAGGCAGCTGGCAGCTAAGTGCTAGCACTTAACAACACTCAGTCCACTGCACCACTGAGGCAAGTTCCATCCTTCATGTGGCTTCTTCTCTTAGCCTCCTTCTTCTTCTCTTAGCCTCCAGTTCCAGTTTCTCTGGGCTGAGATGCTGAACGGAATTTCTGACTTCTGCTGAGGAATCTCCTGAAACAAACATTGTTATAGACGATGCTTTCCTGACAGTGTTGGCAAGCCATCCCCTTTGTCACTTGTCAGCTAACTGACTGCCCTAGCTCTATCTTCCCTAGCATTACCTAGTCTATCAGTGTTCCTAGTTTCTTGGAGAAAATGTAAAATTTGGTTCATGTATGTCTTCTGATGGTTGACAGAGGAAAGGACATCTTTTCAAAAAAAAAAAAGAAGAAGAAGAGGGAAAGCTCGTTGACTCCATGGTATCCTGTAATGTTTAATAATGCAGTACTACCACCATATAAGAAGGGGAAAGGTGCCTTCGGGGTTGAACCTGTCTCTCTTCTGAATTCCTTCTATTCCAAGGTCACCAGCCTGTGTAGGAACAGCTACTGGCTAATGTAATTTCCTTGCTGCCGAGGATTCAGCCACCTTTTCCTCTCTACTGGACTCTGTGTGCCTCCCAGAAACCTCCAAAAGACTGGCTCAGTTTGTGTGCTTTCTGGGGACAATAGAAAGTCATGCCTATTAAAGTAACCACCTCAAAATTATAATTGCACAGCTACCTTTGACTGCCAAACTGTCCATTGTAGTGTAGAATAAAATTCACTTGTTCTAGAAATATAGAATTTTGGATGAAAACTGACTAAGGGCAAGAAAGCAGGGAGGAAAATGATAAACTTTCAAAGCAGGGAGTAGAGGGTTAAGAGCTAAGAGTTAAGGTTATATTTTTAAAATCTTAAAATGTTTTCAAATTTTTTAATTTTATTTTTTTAATGGTTAATTTTTTCAATGTTTTAAAATTATTTTTTCAATGTTTTAAAATCCTTTTTTTTCAATTTTTCAATTTTTCAATTCTAAATTCTTTTTTCAATTGTTCAAATTCCTTTTCAATTTGAAAAAAATTAAAAATTATTTGAATTCTTTAGAAATTTTTAAATCCTTAATGATCTAAGAGAGAAAAAGATCACGGGGGGGAGGGAGATCGACATTTCAAAACAGGGAAAAGAGTGATGAATTTTCAAGACAGAGAATAAAGGGCCAAAAACTTTTGTTTCTGACATTACATATTACATTGCAATTAATGTCCCCAAACTGCTTTTTTTCAAGAGGCAACTGGACTTCATGGTTTTTCTTTGAAGACGTTTTACTTCTCATCCAAGAAACTTCAGAGCTGAAAAAGCTTCTCCGATGAGAAGCAAAACATCTTCAAAGAAAAACCAGAAAGTCCAGTTACCTCTTGAAAAAGCATCTTTGGGATAACCATGACCTGGATAACTGAGATTCCCCATAAACATCACAGCTGTAGACCTCACAGCCCTCTGTATGTTTAGTAAAATAACGAACTTCAAAATATAAAGCTTCTCAATATATAACATGGATATAGAAGGATAACAGAGAGACTATCAAGAAAAAAAATAAAAAGTTCAATCTATTCTTTTCCCCTATTAAACAAATGGTATAGTCCACAGACTATCATTTTCCTGCTCTTAATGGACTCTCATTCAAAAATGGGTATTTCTAAAAAAGATGGGAAATAAAATTTCACTCCGGTCACAAGCAATTTTGAAATCAGCTCCAATCAGGATTCATACATGGAGATGCAATAGAAAAGAAAACCATAAACAAGTCCAACCAATGTTAAATGAGACAGGCTCAAGGGTACTGATTGCTTCCTTGCCAATAGAAGACAGGCAGCTCTAGAGTTAAGTGTCACCAATCTAGAATGTCACCAAACTATCTAGCTCTGTATGTCCTTCCCCAATGTTCTCTGGAGACAAGTTACTATATTGAAGGATACTATATCTGGGTATTGAACTAACTTCATCCAGCATCATTTTCTGGACAAGGCCCAAAAGGAAGGATCGCAACCATTAAAGAACAGGGACCTTGGGCATGGATTTGTTATTTTTCACTAATGTTTTTATCCAGCTACCCCTCTGCAAATGGAGAATTTATGATTCCCAGAGGATAAATTGGTTCTTGCTGTAATTTTCAAAATTCTGGTCTTTGAGACCTCGTCTGAGGTAAACATCAGACTGAAACAACATGGAAGGGATCTTGCCTCAGAAAAGGATAAATGCCTCAGTCACAAACATTAGGGCACATGTTTTGGGACAGATAGGAGCTGTGCTCTTGGATGTACTTTCTCTTCCCGGTGTATCTTGGTTTGTCTGAATCAGGAAAGCCACTACAATTTCAATATTGTGAAGGTGCTTTGAATTTGTCTAATTCCTCTTGTTCTTTTTCAGAAACGGGAAGGGGATTGATTCAGCCCCATAAATTATGGATCTTGTGCTTCTGCTTTTGATCCTGCTGGTGTCCCAGCCAGTCTCTGGGAAGCTTAGAATGAAGTGTCCACTGAATTTTGAGCACCAGGATGGAGAAAAACCATGGAGCTATTACAGGCCAGGAGACCATTTCATTAGTATAGTCAACACTGGAAGAAAAATATTGCATAAAACAACGTTGCCTTTCAACACGGCTCCTCGTTGTCACTTTGACTCGTAAGTCATTCAGTGTGATGGAGTTGCATTCCCTCTATTTGCAGTTCTAACACTCTCGTTCTTTTCTTCTTCTTTCACTCATGCCTGTATTTTAGGACCTATCTAAGTTCTTGAATAATTTTGATTTCCATTGCTTCTCTTTTGTTTATTTTGTGGGGAAAAAATCTCAAATCCAAAAATGGGACAGAAAAAACCTGCTGAAAATATCCAGATTCTATAACTTTCCTGGTCTAATCCTGTTTTATGACTTGAATGCCAACTTTGGTTTAAAGTTTAAAGTGGTTATTGAATGGGTTGTAGTTGCCTCTGCCCAGCCCATTTCTATATTTTTATAAGCTCTCATTCATATTCAGTTAATGATCTTTATAGAAATGGAGAATGGCTTGATTTTAGAATTGCTTTTCTGGATCACATATGAAACAGCCTCTTCGTATTATGATGGTTCTACTTTAATAATTGAAAGATTTTCAATCCTGGTTACTCAGCAGATGAAACTTGGAACTGCTGCTTTATTTGTGATTGTTACATGTATAATCTCCCTCTCATCTCCCAGCACTCATTAAAATGAAATGGTGATGATGACTGTCATTTGTATTTGATTTTGGATCAGTGTTGGCTTAAAACTCAGAAAGCTCGTGAAGACAAAAATGATTAAACTGGAAAAGTATTTTTATAATTGTTATTAATGATGTTGATGCTAACATGAACATTTTTTACTTCAGTTTATCTTTTGATAGTTTTAAAGCACTACGCTACATTTTTAATATACAAGTGGTCAACAATACTTCCAGGTCCCTGCACAATCTCACACTTGGCTACAACATCCATGACAACTATTTGAACACACTTTTCAGTTCAGATGCTTTGATGGACATGCTCTCTACTGGAGAAGCCAATGTTCCCAACTACAGCTGTGGAAAGAAGGACAACATTTTGGCTCTTGTTGATACAGCTGCTGATGACATCTCCATCCAGATGTCAACATTAGGAAACACCTACAAAGTCCCTCAGGTTTGTAAGTTTATGTTTATGTTTTATTTTTTGTAAATTTAATGGGGTGGTGGGTTGATATGTGATAGATTCAATCATATTTTCATTTTGGAACTGAAGAACTCCTTTTCACCATGGCCATTGTAGAAATTCATCATAAATAGCTTGAAGAGAAATCAAACCATTGTGAAAGATTTTCTGTCAGCTGAACTATTCAAAAAATATCCCTAATAGTGGTGTCCTCTATTGGCTGATTCATTTATACATATTAATAATTCCTAATATATTCAGTTGAGTTTAAGAAGGCAAAAGTATGTTTAAAACAGAATAAAAAGCAATTACAGTATAGGCTGATTGTGCTAACAGAAATTGTGGCTAAAATGTATATGCTGGAATCCTCTTGAGGAGAGTTGAGAGTGGGTAGATGAAGAAATAATTTCTTGCTGAAGAACAAGTAGTTTTATCTGTAGCCTGTTATCCTCAATGAAACTAAATCTACATGGAAGGAAGAATGCAGTGAGGTACCTCAAGATTCTGTCTTAGGTCTAGTGCCCAATTATTGGTGTTACATAGATAGATAGATAGATAGATAGATAGATAGATAGATAGATAGATAGATAGATAGATAGATAGATAGATGACAGAGAGAGAGAGAGAGAGGGAGAGGGAGAGAGAGGGAGAGAGGCAGGCAGTCAGAGACAGAGACAGAGACAGAGACAGAGACAGAGAGACAGAGATAGAGATATAAGGTTGACTCAGCCTTCCATTCTTCCCAGGTGGGTAAAATGAGGATCCAAATTGTTGGGGGCAATATGCTGACTCTGTAAACCTCTTAGAGAGGGCTGTAAAATATTGTAAAGCAGTATATAACTCTATGGAAACTGGCAGTCTCCCCAAATTGTGTCTTTTAGAACGGACAAAATTTAAATTAAAGATTACTTGAATTGTACAACTGACAAATTACATTAGAAGCTGAGTTCTTCCTGTCTTTTGTGAAACAAGAGAACAAACTAAAGAGTTTGATGCAAAGACATCAGATATTGAAGCAGAGAAAGACACACAATCATGCTCAATAAGGGTGGTGCATTGAAATAGATGTGTTTCTACAAATGTACTTCCAAATTGGCAAGTATTTCAATACAGAAATATCTAAACATCTTAAGATGATATTTACTCAAACAACATTTGAGCACTGGGCGCAATGGTTAAATACAGAAAATTTAACCAAGATTCTTACAATGAAGAGACTTGTGTTAGACGAGCTCCAGAGAGAGAGAAAAAAAAACACATATACAGTATTAGTTAAATGTCAGTTGTATAAGGAAGAGATCAGTATCTTGGATCGCATATTAGACAAACAGCCTATTTGGATCCATACATTAAAGCAACATATTTCCTGTTAGGTCAAAATTATCAAAATACATTCCATATGGCTCTTTGTTTGAACAAAACATTTTAATTCACCTATGGACCTGTGGGTCTGATGCCATAAGTTGTAGAGGTGATACAAAAATACGATTGACATTCTTTATTCTTATTCTTCTAAATTTATGGGTTTTATACTATTGTTACAAACCAGCGATGGTGAACCTTTTCGGCACCGAGTGCCCAAACCGGAACGAACATGCATGTGTGTGAATGTGTACGCACCAGAGTGCCGGAAACCTGAAGACTAGGTGGCCGGCATCCACTTGCCTGTTTTTTGGGTGTTTGGGGGGCTGTTTTCAGGCCATTTTCAGGCCATTTTTTGGGCTGTTTTCTGGCCATTTTCAGAAAACCAGCTGGCCAGAAATCCATGTCAGAAACCACATGTGCACTAGAAACCAGAAGAGCAGCTGGTGATGGCATTCGTGTCCCCAGAGAGGGCTCTTTGTGCCCCCTTTGGCACATATGCCATAGGTGGACCATCATGATTATATACAGTCTTCCTAATGTTATATTGTTTTTATTCTTTATTTTCATATGGATTAATGACTAATCAATAATAAACTATTCTAATAAGTTTATGAGAACCAAGTTGGATTTGTTTAAAGCTAATATTTTGGAACTGATCTAACCCCAAATATACCAATTCTTCATTGCTTTTTCAGATCAATTTTGAATTATTTTCAGATTCACTGCACGATAAGAGTCAATTGCCCTTTTATCACCAGCTTTATCCCAAAAAAGGGATCCTCTACCCAGGAATTGTCCAAGTGCTCCTCCATTTCAGATGGACCTTGATTGGTCTCTTTGCTTCAGACACAGAAAATGGAGAGAATTTCATGAGGATCTTTACTCCTTTGTTTGTCAAGAATGGAATCTGTGTTGTTATATCACAATATTTCTCAACAACCGGACTGACAGCACTCCACGGCAATGCCCTCTCTAAGTGGAGACAAGTCAATGTCTACATTCACTACATGGAATACGGTGCCGTTTTGGAAAGAATTCTTCCTTTTCACTTAATACTTAGGCGTTTCCCAGGACACATTGAAGGGAAAGTTTGGATCACAACACTCATTGGACTACATCCACTGAGAGACCACAGTGCTCTCAAATATGTGAGTAGTATCTGGACTGTTGATTTTGAGAGAAAAAAGCGGCCAATAAAGGATTCATTTAAACGTGGTTTCTTTCTGGATCCATCCTTTGGGCATCAGTCATATGTCTGTTCTTTTTCAAAACATGTCTTTTCTGTCAAAGGCCGGAAAAGATGCACTGAGAAATCACCACTGGGGACCGAAAAGAAAAAGAACATGGTATGGTACTTGAATTACCACCATTTTTACAGTGCCATTAAGACTCTGGACCATGCCTTGAATGCGGCGTATTCTTCCAGATCCAGGAGGAGAAGGGAGGAGGGCAAAGGGAGTTTGGGGACTCCAAGGCTACAGCCATGGCAGGTATGGGGTTCCAACAAGGACTTAGTTCCTTTGGTAAAGAAATTCAAAAAGAAAAGATGGAGACCATATTAACCTAATTGTGTTACGGGACTCCAACACCTTTTGCCAATCTAATCACTCAGGCAATAATGTTCACAAGAATGGGAACTATGACAGATAGATTGATATTAAGCACTACTAATATTTAAATGATGTGTACATTTTTAAATAAATTCCTGCATGAATGGGTTTGTGATTAGCATCATTTAATTTTACCTTAATAAATCTGAAGGAGCCCATTAGATCATCTAGTCCAACCTCTCCTCCCTGCAGGAATTCCAGTTAAATCTTTTCTGACTCATGGCTGCTCGGTCCTTCCATTAAGAAATTCAGTGAAGAGATGGCTGAATTTCTCTGCTTCTCTGGCTCACCGCTAAAACTTCACTTCTTTTAAGATTTTTTTTCCCTCTTATTCAGTCAGAATCTTGTCTCTTGTAACCTAATTCATTTTTTTCCAAACCCCTGTCAAAAATAACATTAAACAGATCTTAAGTGTTTGTGTAACAGTTTTCAGTTATTCTCCACCTAAAAGCTTCTATTAGTTGGAAAATCAATCAATCAATCAATTGATCAATCAGAATAGAGCTGGAAGGGACCTTAGAGATTTTGTAGTCCAACCCCGTGGTCAAGCAGGAAATCTTATACCATTTCAGACAGGTGACTGTCCAGTCTTTTCTTAAAAACCTCCAGTGATGAAGCATCCACAACTTCTGAAGTTGCTCCACTGGTTAATTGTCCTCACTCTTAGGAAGTTTCTCCTTAATTTTTTTTTTAATTTGATTTATATGCCACCAAAGTCAACTTATTGCCCCCACAACTGGGTCCTCAATTTACCTACCTTAGAAAGGATGGAAGGCTGAGTCAACCTTGAGCCTGGCGAGATTCAAACCTGCAGTAATTGCAGGCAGTTGGTCTTAATAACAGGGTGCTTTAGACCACTGTACTACCAAGGCTCCTAATTTGAGATTGCTCCTTTCCTTGATTAGTTTCCATCCATTGTTTCTTGCTTTGCCTTCTTTGGAAAATATGTTGATCCCCTCTTTTTTGTGGCAGCCCCTCAAATATTGCCATTGTGTCACCCCTAGTCCTTCTTTTCTCTAAACTAGCCATGCCCAATTCCTGCAATCATTCTTCGTATGTTTTGGTCTCCAGGACTTGGTTGCTCTTCTTTGCAATTTTTCAAAAGTCTCCACATCTTTTTTGTAACATGGTGATCAAAACTGGATGCACTATTCCAGGTGTGGTTATACTAAGGATTTATAAAATGGTACTAATACTTCACATGACTTTGATTCTATGCCTCTGTTTATACAACCAAGGATTGCATTATCTTTTTTGGCTGCTACCACACATTGCTGGCTCATGTTTAAGTAATCATGGGGCTCCCCTTGAGGACCACCCGGAGGCTCCAACTGGTGCAGAGTGCGGCCGCGCGGGTGGTTATGGGAGAGATGTGGCATTCCCATGTAACACCTCTCCTGCGTGAGCTGCACTGGCTCCCGGTGGTCTTCCGGGTGCGCTTCAAGGTTTTGGTTACCACCTTTAGAGCGCTCCATGGCTTAGGACCTGGGTTCTTATGGGACCACCTGCTGCCACCAGTAGCCTCTCACCGGCCAGTACGCTCTCATAGAGAGGGGCTCCTCAGGGTGCCGTCAGCCGAACAGTGTCGACTGGCGGCCCCCAAGGGGAGTAAGCCTTCTCTGTGGGGGCACCTGCTATCTGGAATGAGCTCCCCCCAGAGATACGGAGGATCCTGGATTTACACACCTTCCGCCGTGCCCTCAAGACCTTTTTATTTCAACAGACTGGCCTGGCCTAATTTCCCTTTTTAGTTGTAAATTTTTAAATTTGTTTTAAAACATCAGGGGTGTTTTAACTTGTCCTGGGCCAAATTATTTAATGGGTTTTTATATTGTCTTTTAAATTTTGTAGTCACTGTGTTTTATCTTTTTGGCTGTTCACCGCCCTGAGTCCTTCGGGAGTAGGGCGGTATATAAATCTAAAAAATAATAATAAAAAATAAAATAAATCATCCATTAGGACTCCAAGGTCCCTCTCACAGTAACAGAAAAGATGTTTCCAAACTCCTTCTGATTTTTTGCTCTAGTAGACCAATGAGGTTCTTCTCCCTCTTGCTCCTTTGACCTCTTCCTTGGATTCATTACTGTTCCATAAAGCTAATTCAGTTTTTCTGAAATATTTTTTTCGAAATGTAGTGCCTGCAAGGGGCAGTTGTGGTCTCCCCCCCAAAAAACCCAACATTCACGTTGTTTGTTTGTTTCTTTGTTTACTTATGCACGTACTTACTTACTTATTTATTGACTTTATATTGCCGCCTATTCGCCCATGGCAACTCAAGGTGGTTTACAAAATATAAAACCACATTTTTCTTCTTCTATGTTGAAGACTTTGTACTTGTTTCTCTTTTAAATTCCATTCAGGGATTATTATTTTTCAGCTCATTTTGATAAACATCATTTTATATCTGTTTCTTCTTCTTTTTTTGTGAAATATTTTTTATTTTTTTCCCAACATAAACATAAAATATATCTTTCAAGAGCAAAGTTTCTTTTCTTTTTTAAAAAAAAAAAATTTATTAATTAAAAAGTGCAAACAAACATAGATATAACAATACAACATGCAAAACAGACAAACATCAGTCAAGTCTTTCGACTTACTTTTAAAGCTGTCACATCGGTAGACTATGTTTCCTATTGTTATCTATATATCTATATATTTATATATTTACACATGAAAGATTGTGATACGTTCCATATTTAAACTGTTATGTTCCTTAATTGGTACTCAAGTTGTTGTCTCTAAGTTGACCTCATTCTTTTATGAACCTATGTAAGTATTTCTACCTTTTTCTCCAACCAGTTATACCATTTTTGCCATGCTAAGTAGTAATCTGTGTCATCTTTTTCTTGTAGCTCTTTTGTGAGTTTATCCATTTTTGCACGTTCTGTGACTTTAGTGATTATTTTATTTTCTGTCAGTATGTCTTCATGTTTCCAGTTTTGGGCAAAGAGTATGTGTGCTGCGGTTAGGATGTGGATAATTAAATATTTTATTTATTTCTTTATTTCTTTCTCATATTTATTTATTTATTTATTTATTTATTATTGCGATTTATATGCCGCCTTTCTCCCTGAGGACTCAAGGCAGCTTACAAAATGACAGTTTCAATACAAATCACAATGTAATAAAAATTAAAATCAATGACCCAATTAAAACAGTTTAAAATTATAACAATATACCCCCAACGGATCAGTTAAGTTGACGGAAGAGCCAAGTCTTCAGCTCGCGACGGAAGGAAAGAAGGTCGGGGGCTGTCCTGAGCTTGGTGGGCAATCCATTCCAGAGGGTTGGGGCTCCCACAGAGAATGCTCTCCTCCTGGGGGCCGTCAGCCAACATTGTTTGGCCGACGCCACCCTAAGGAGGCCCACTCTGTGAGAGCGCACAGGATGATGGGAGAGTGGCTGGAGATGGTCCTGCAAGTACCCCGGGCCTAAGCCATGAAGGGCTTTATAGATAAGCACAAGCACCTTGAACTGAATCCGGAACGCCACTGGCAGCCAGTGCAGCTCACGCAGGAGGGGTGTTACACGGGAGTATCTAGACGGCCCTGTAACTACCCTCACGGCTGCATTCTGGACTAGCTGGAGCCTTCAGACGCATCCCAAGGGCAGCCCCATGTAGAGGGTGTTACAGTAGTCCAACCTAGAGGTAGCAAGGGCAGGAGTGACCGTGGTGAGGTCATCCCAGTCTAGGAAAGGGCACAACTGGTGCACAAGACGCACCTGTGTGAAGGCCCCCCTGGTTACGGCTGTCAGATGGTCATCCAAGCACAGCCAAGAATCCAGGAGGACACCCAAGTTGCGGACCCTATCGGAGGGAGCAAGAATCTCTCCCCCGATCACTAACGATGGAATATGTATATTGTGCTGTAATTATTCCCAGTAAAAAGGTTTCTGGCTTCATTACCTATTTCTGGTTTGTGATTTCTTCTATCATTTTCATTATTTCCTGCCAATATTGTTTCGCCTTTCGGCATGACCACCACAGATGGTAATATGTTCCTTTTTGTGACTTACACTTCCAGCACATTGGGGAGGTATTTGGACCAAATTAGTATATGTATATTTATGTAGTAAAGTTTAAAAGGAATGGAAATAAAAAGTAAGAAAGGAAACAAAGAGAGAGAGAAGAGAGAAAGTAAAGTAAAGAGGAAAAGAATAACAAAAGAAAAAAAAGAAAAGAAAAAAAAGTCAGAGAGAAAAAACCTCTAATTAGTATTCAAACTTCAAATAGGCATTAAACATCACATTTTCATTTTAATCAAGCTATGTTATTTTTCTTATCTTGCAACCCACTATATTCCATTTCTTCTTTTTCCAATCTGTCCAAAACTATTCCTTTTCAATTTCAATGTTATCAAAGTTAAAAGTTTTATTAAATTCAGTTTCTTTTGTGACTTCTATTCCATATATGGTATCATCGTCTCTTCATTTGTTGCTACACCCTTTTCTTTTGTTGCTGTGCCTATTAGTTCAATTTTAATTGTTCCAGTTTATTTCTTCTTTCTTTCCATCAGTAAAACCTCCATTCGACAGATTGGATATCTCCAAAATCAAACCTCCTTGATTGTTTCCAAAACAATCCAATTTAAATAGCAAGACACATAGTTTCTCTTTCAATTCGCAAACAATCCACAATTTGCACTTTCACTTCATCTCTGCAGTTCTCCATTTTGGCTACTGTATAGTTATCCACTTGTTTTTTCGCTTTGTTTTAAAAAGTTCCTGGTTATCGCCTCTTCTCTCTTTTTCTCTTCAAAGATAATCCATTCCCATTTAGAAAAGAGACATTTTCAAGGTTTTGTAATTTTCCAAAAAACGATCCTTCCAAATCAGTCAATAATAACAATAATTCATTTATGGATCTTTTCCTCCTGTAAGTTGTTTTACTAGGTCTTCTTGCCCCGATGGTCTATAGCCACTAATTAAGGCTACGGGCTCTCTTGTAAATTGCCATAATTTAAGCGCTATTCTGCCTGGGTTGGGTCTCACTTACCCGGCTTCCGAACACTTCACTCTTTCTCTTTCTTCTCCCTCCTGCACGATGCTTCTCTGGTTGGCCACAGCTTTGAGGCAGCCGCCATGGCTGCCACTCCCCTGCCACCAGC